AACTAAGTATATTTATTCTTTACTTAGGGGTGGGTAGTTTTTTTTTTGTGTAATACAAACTGTAAATATCGTTTTTATCAATGCAAACGGTCCTATTTGATAACTTTTCAGAAAATACCTAGTTTAGCTATTCTGTTAATTGGCTCCAAAAACAGCTCACATTTCGTATGCTAATTTAAAAAGATTCTTATACATAAAAAAGTTTAAAATCTGTGCCGACTAGTCATCACAGCCCAAGTCGATTTATACTTCTTAAATCGCTGCCAAAATCGAGAAAAACTTTGGCATAGAAAATTTATGTATAAATAAAAGTTCAGTTAGTCTAGACTTAACTTACGTAAGAAATCGTCAATGGTTACTCAACACCAGAAGGGAAAGTATTTTGTTTTTGTATTTTCCTTTCATCAAACAATTCCTGAACAAAAATATATTGCGTTGGCCAATATTTATGGTGACGTTACGTAAATTAAGTTTAGATCAACTGAGCCTTAAGGAGTTCCATTAAAAACAATTATTCCACAATTTTTTTTGTTTCTGATAAAAACAATAAATCCAGAAATGCACCTGCTATAAATTTGAAAACAGTTACAAAATTAAAAAAATTCTTTCGGAGCTTTTGTAATTCTCAATTATCTAAGTAAGAAACTGTTCAAGTGGAATTATTGCATTTTGCTATGGAACTGTTCAAAAACGGTATGCAAAAGTTAAATCCTGATAACTCGCTAGCTTAGAAAGAAAAGTTGCTAAGTCCCATTTTAAAAATTTTACAGGAGAGGAAAAAAATCTTCCTATAGCCATTTTCTTTAACTATTTCGCAAGACTTTGAATCAAACATTTTGCGCGTTTAAAGCAAAGCAAAACTCCATAAGAATCAGAAGGATTCGATATTTATTAAGAGATGTCATATTATTTCGGCCTTATCGGTTTTGTGGTGCTTCTTTTGGACTTAGCAAATTTTCCTTTCATTGCTTATGAAGAGGAAAAAATAAGACCAGTACCTTTATAATTTTCGATACGATGCGTATTCAATTTCTCTAGCCTCCTATATCAAAATATGAGTTTTCATAAAAAGTGGACTTAGCAACTTTTCACTCTAAGCTGGCGAACTGTATTATGTATTTGTTGATTCGAACCAAATTTATACCTGCATATGTATACTTGTTCATCCGGGAGATGAATTGAAGATATGAGAACCAGAGTAGCACATCTAGAATAACCTCAAACAATATGAGAAAGTATAATCACCGTTTTTATATAACACTTGTTGGGCAAAATCTAAGAAATTCATTGCTGCCATCTGTTGCTTCCGCCCAGTAGATAATATTAAGAACCAAAAGACCTTCCGAAAAGCCTTCCTTAAAGTCAAAAGGCCATCCACTCTGTATTCCTTTACTTTTTGTCTGGAGTGTAACAAATTGAGGGGCTTCTAGAAGGGCTTTTGTAGGATATACTTCAGCCTTTTGGGAAAGTTCTATGGCTGCGTTAATTCATAAAAATCCATACTTTTTTAAGATCCATTTCAAATATGTATGTTTTATTTCAACTTAAAATGCATATTGAAATTTATTTGTAATGTAGACACAAATTTTGTTCTGAAAAAATTTGTTTAAAGAGCACGTATGTAAATATTAAAACCTACATGAGAAAACGGCACTTAGTAATTTAAACTTATACATACATTTGAGTAAATTGTAAATAGGAAAAGTCCTTCTAGAAGGCATGCAGGGAATTGCTTTTGACAGCCCTGCTTGGGTAGGGCTTTTATTGGCTTTTAGAATGACTTCACTTAAAGTATGAAAATTAAACGTGGAATTTTCTATAAGTAACACCTTTCTAGTTAAGTATTTTATTCTCAAAAGACTATATCAAAAATAACGGAATCTTGCGTATTCCGCGCAAAGAAAATAATAATTTAACATTTGAGTACTATTGTTGGTCTGCAAAGCACTACTTTAATATTTTTTCTTAAATTTTATAGTATGTTCACACCGGGCGTTAACTGAAGTTTTCGCTCACCTGCTCATCAGACACCTTACCAAGTATGTGATTTATAATAAATAGCATAAAGCTTTAATGTATTTTTAAGGCAAAAAAAACGTCATCATAAAGAAATCTCAAAAAAAAAACGGTTCTGAAAAAGTTTTAAGATCACCACAAAAATCTCAGAAAAATCCGAAAATGGATAAGAATTAAAAATCAATAACTAACTGTCATTTCCTGCTCAAAAAATATAAGGCAAGTTTTAAAAATTGAATTTTTGGCTCAAAAAACGACAATTATTTCACTATTTCTTAATTTTAAAATCTAAACATTACTAATTTCAGTTCCTATAGAGCATTTAAATTTAAATTTCTCTATAATTATTATTACATAAAAATGCCTTAAATGTCTCGCAAACAAATTAAAATACGTAGGGCGAGAAATAAGAAATCAACAAACCCGCTTTGTATTGAAAGCAGTCGGCTCTAATCCCGAAAATGTATACAATTTCTGGAATCAAATGCCGCGAATCCACAGGGCATTGAAATGACAAATTTATGAAGTTTAAAAAAACGGTATGCGGGATAAGACCTATACTAGCTTTACGGCCATATTATTTAATGTAAAACTCGGTCATGAAAATATTACCATTTAGCGTCCAGTGGAAATCTGGCATAACAAAATAAGCTTAGAGTGGAAATGGGGTATTATAAATAATTTAAAACTTTACTGTTATAAAATTTAAAGTAGATAAAACAATTTTGACAAAATCATTCACAAATACGGAAGTATACAGCGCTCAGTGACAGTTGTAATGCTGAAACTACTTCAGAGTAAAAATGTGACATACATACATATTGTTTTTATACTGGAAGAGTGTGCCTTAGTACAAAGAAAGACTTTTATGCCGTAGTGAATGATCATTCATTGTACTTTGCTCAATTCTCTAAGTCCTACAGTTGCTTTTCTCGATTTTTCAATTTAAGTAGACCACTCTTCCAGCAAAA